TCGGAATACAAAACACAGCCAGGGATATTTCTGAATACAAGATACAAAGGGTCCACAATCTGTTACTTTTAAGGTTTAAGTTAAAACTATGCAGTCAACCAATCCTATATTTTCCAATATGCAATATGTGTATTTGAATTTTTTTTAAATTTACCCATGGTTAGAGTCAAGACCATAATCCACAATCTGTATCAGGAGACCTTAATAAACCCAAATAATGGATCGTGGAAGCTACAGAGATTGGGAACTAGATTCTAGAGAGAATATTAGAAGAGGTCAAAGGCAATCCCAATTCCCAGACAAGAAGGTTGACAAATTAATTTGGAAATTAGACACTAATGCTGGTTTGAAGGAAAAGTAGGGAAAAGAAGGAAAAGGAAAAAAAATCTTTACAAACCTTATATTAGTTTTTGTCTTTCTCTTCCTTTCCCTAACTTTTCCTTCAAACCAAACATGACCTAAAGGAAAATTCACTTTAAAGTCAGAATACAAGGCTATATGCAAAAGAAAAATAATAAAATATATAAAAAAAAAGCCTAAAAGTGAAAACTTAAAATGTGGAAAACTTTCAACCAAAACATTCTTCACCAAAGGGGTATAGAAACAGACAAGGAAATTGTTTTCTGTGGGGAAACTGAAGATACGGATCATATCATAAGAAAATACCAGTGCATCAAGACAAATTTGGGGATCAGGTGATGCTGTATCCCTTGCTAATGAGGAGATTGGAATCGGCAAGAAGAGAACGAAACTCATAAATTGTGTCCCAATTTCTGGGAAAAAAAACTGCTTTCTTTTTGGTTCATCTGGAAAAATAGATGCAATGATATTTTTCAAAAGAAAGGGAACATTGAAAATAAATTTTGATGCTTCCTTAAAATCAAATAGGGTGTTCTCGTTTGGTTGTATTGCACCAAATTCTTCAGGTCTGGTGCAAATAGCGGAAGGCGATTTTATTAGTATCACTTCCATATATAAATGTGGCAGCTGAGCACTGTGCAGTGGTAGAGGCATACAAGCTAGCAGCTCAAAGTGGCTTCAACAACATTTGGATCAAGGGGACTCTAAAGTTGTCATTGATTGTCTTCCAAAAAGTGTCTGGCTTCCATGTATATGTTCATCCCTATGCTCCATTAGTTTTTCAGTAAGTTACTTATTTGGGTAAATGGTAAATGCATTTATCTATGTTTTTTTGGTTTAATTTGGAAGAAATACAAATATAATTATATAGAGTACAAAACCTTGTATTTTGTATTATTTTATATATATTTGCACTGTACATATTTGTATTTGTATTCCTTCCAAACTGAAATAAAACAATTATAATTTTGTCATCTTTCCTCCAGATGGAAAAGGTTATTTATCCAAGTGATATCCATGAAAATATAATTTTTCTGATCCCCACATAAATCTAAGAAGAGAATATGGGTTTCTTGGTCAATAGGAATCAAAATCCCATTGACCAACTTCCCCTCTCAAAATCCAAAACACTAACAGACCCCTAGTTTGGGAATGCACCTTTCACATTACTTATTCACTCACATGGACAGGGAAATCAAACAACAAACTGGCTAGCAAATGTTGGTCATTATTTTTCTGTGGACTTCGTAGATAATTTTCCTTGGCCCTTGTCCTATATTTATTGGATGGACATATGGGATAGGGCTTTGCTTCATTAGGTCTTTGCTCCCTGATTGTATCAAAATAAAAAAGTACCTATAAGCATATTAAGGCTTAGTTTGGGAAGAGTACAAATACAAATATGTACAGTGCAAATAAATACACAATAATACAAAATACAAGGCTTTTCACTCTACATATTTGTATTTGTAGACGTGGGGTCTCCTACTCATGAGAACTCTACCCACGTCTACTTACAACTAGGGCTGTTCATAAAAAGGCCCAACCCGACCAAATCGACCAACCCAGACCAACCCAACCCGAGTTGGCCGGGTTTTCATCAGCACAGGTCGGTTTTGTATTGTGCAAATTCCTAAACCGATGATTCAGGTCGGTTTTGGTTTTCTTGTGAACTGACTTGGTTCCTAGTTCAAACATGAAGTTTCAAAGCCCATTAGGCCACCTAGTTTTTGAATGGTTGCAAGAAACTTTGGATTAGTGAATAGTGATTAATAAACAACTTTGTGATTAACTTTTCATTTAAATTTTATCATAAGAGATGGCTGAAATGATGTTCAATTTATGATTGTTTTTAAAATTAGCAAGATTTTATCACAGGGATGAACTTAGAACCGAAACCGACCCAAACTGACCCAACCCGACTCAAACTGACCAGGTTGGTTTTGCTTAACACTGGATCGGTTTCGGTTTCTATGTCAGGTAACCCGACCAGGTCGGGTCGGTTGGAAAAACAACAGTAAACCGACCCAACCCGACCCGTGAACAACCCTACTCACAACACACTACCCCCGTCAATTGGGAACATCTCCCCCTGCATAGTATTATGCAAGGGGATGAGATATTCTCCATGTGTGGCTGCGATGTTATGTGAGAAAACATGGACAGAGTTCTTGTGAGAAGGAGATCCGGACTCGTATTTGTACTCCTTCCAAAATGAGCCTTAGGCTGCATTTGGTTGCAATGCAAATGCAAATATGTACACTACATATTTACCCATTTTTGGTTCATGAATGCAAACACGATTCACATTTTAAACCGTTTTTGCATTCATTCTATTAGTTTGAAATCGGTGCAAAGGTGTGGCCCCATCATTACCTGCTCCAACTATCTTATGCTCCAATGCCTCAACTTTGGTCAAAAAGTTAATTATCAAATGAATACAAATTTGCATCCAAAAAATAGGTACAATAATGCTCTCTTTTTAGAGTATAAAAGTGTCAAAAAATGCAATTTTACTTTAATAAAAACGCTCACAGATGCAAACTTGGGTGCATAAGTACCCCAATTTAGCATTTGTATCGCAAACAAGCGCAGCGTTAAGTGCAAAAAATAAACCTATAACTAACATTAGAATCGGATTAACATTAAGGATCATTCACATGAATCAAAAACAACAATCTTACATCTTATCTTTAGGCAAATCATAATTACCAAGATATTCAATTATTTGAAGAATATGTGAAAGAGAAATAAAATTAAGAATTAAATCTGTATACTATATCATTGATCAACAAAGTCTAAATGCTATCTCATAGATGCATAGGAGCAACGTGTTAAAATCTTACCAAAGTGAAATCTTGATGTTATCTTCAAATTGATAAAATAAATCATGGATTAAATCAACAGAATTTTGGAAGGCTCTTTGCTTAACTTCCAAATGTAAAACAAAACTTGATTTTAGCGAGACGGAGTCTAATAAGCGGGTTGGGTGGCAATTTTTCACCCAATCCGCTTAGTATCTAACCCGTCCAATTCGTCTATTTATTTGACGGGTTGTGTGATCAACCCGTCATTCAACCTATCCATTTAAATGGGTTGGGTTGGGTTGGGTTGGGTTGTGGATAACCATTGGGTTAATTATTACAGACATTAGTATTAATTTTTTAGCTTTTTTTTATTTTTTTCATTTGAATTAAATAATTTATAATTAATGCATTAATTTTCTATTAATTATTGACTGAATTTAGTTTTGTCTTAATCAATATACTTCACCCAACATAAATCCAAATCAATTTGACCCAAGTTCGGACCAGTTCAATGCAGTCTGACCTGATCCAACATATACCGATCCGGGTCAACCCAAATCCGAAATAGACCTCAGACGGGATGACTTGGTACCACTTGCTTTGCCCGGTTTGGGTCGTCCAGTCCAACCATTGGTCACACAGCCTGGTTCGACCCGGCACAAGCTTATCCGGGTCGAACCGGGTGGGGTCTGAACCCTAAACCGCCTCGCTTGCTTTGCCTGGTTGGATCGTCCAGTTTGGTTCATATCCGTACAACACGACCCGAATCCGGCCCGATCCGATTTACTTCTTTTGACCCACATCGGGCCAATCATTTCGGCCCCAAACCCGTGCACAAACTTGATATGAGCCGACCCAAGTCAATCCACCATTTGACTGAACCGGTCCAGTCTGGTCCGATCGGATCGAACCGGTTCAGGATGGGTCTAGTCCGACCGGACTGATCCGGATCTAAACGGTCCAACCACTCTTGAACTTGATGTGATTACCTTGAAGACAATCCAATTAGATAGTTCAAGTTGGTTTGACCGGTTTGAACCTATGTGGTTCGTCAAATCTGAAACCCAAACATAGTTAAATGGCTTTGCTGCTTGTATAAAAATAACATGCATGTAATGTGATTTGAACATTCACCACTTGTGTAAATAACAACTACTATTACCACTAAATTATGATTAACTTATTTGTTATAAAAGAGTTAGTTTTTTGTTTTAAGTACATAAATATAAGATTAATGGGTTTGGACGGATTGGATTGGGTTAAAGCGAGTTTAGGTTGAACCCAACCCATTTAATTTTATATAACTGGGTCATTAACGGGTTGGCAGGTTAAATGGATTGGGTTGAAACTCAACCCAAACCCAACCCACCCAATTGCCACCACAACTAATAAGACATACATGTAAAAGAAGATTATAGATGGAAGCGAAGGAAAGGCTTAGACATTTGATAGCTATCCAAGGGAAATTGCTCCAATTTAAATCCTATAAGTAAGTAATAAGCAATTAAATTATCAAGAACAATGATCACCCAAGTTGGGATGAAGAATAAGTTCCCTCGACCTTTTTTTTTTCATTGTCATTTTTTACTCATTAAAAACAAGGGTTTTTTTTTTTTAATCACCATTAATAACTTCCCCTTTACCCCTTTTCCCCAAAGTGCTGGTTGCGGGATTGGATTGTGCTCAATGCTGGAACAAACCAGCTAACACACAGATGAGCCAGCCGACAGTTGGTAAAAACAAGCTTTATTGCATATATAATTGATTTGTATGGCTTTTATGATTCTGCAGCATTTAAATGTATACAATAAAATTAACAAACAACTTACTTACAATGGTGTTTTAGGATGCTGAAGACTGGTTGCCAATCTATGTTTGTCTCCAGCATGTCCTTAAAGTAAGCTACCGGGGCCAACGGTCTGCAAATAGACATTTGCCAACAAACAATGCTTTAAATCCTTCTCAAAGTTGAAACCCTTTTGCAGCATTAAATCCTCTCTTCTCTTGAACCTGATTTATCCATACAGAATAGTGTGCTAAGAAAAATTATTTTGAATCAACAACTAGTTAGTTCTCAATGATCACCATCTTTTCTATACAATAGCGCTCTACAATTTAATTTGATTTCACACAATATGCATAGCTCTTTATATATAAGCTATGCATACGGTTGCCTCTATACAAGCCTCAATACAAGAGCATCTCTTGGGTGATCTCACAATAAGGCAGTGGTGGATGACTTGGATCCATTAAAACATCTAAGAACAACAACATTTTTTACTACTTTTGAAATCATCTTGTTAGTGTAACCTCTAGGAGTTTGCTAGAGATTATAAAGAACTCTCACTGTTTTGCAATGTCTTGTAGATAGTTGGATATATTACTCTAAGATGGGAAAAATATAGTTAGTGGTTTCAAAAAAGTAAACAAATAAATAAGCTACTGGTTTTCTAACAAAAATTCAATATTTCTAGCAGAGAATCACCTTAAGCAATATGTCACCAGAATGTTCGTTTTTTTCTCCGGCAAGCAATGGGTCAACAGATTGAGGTTGGAACGAGGTAAGAGCTGATGCTACTAAATTACTAAAGTAGAGCTCAGAAATAAGATACAACAGACTGGAAGAAAATGCTCATTTAACCACTACCAGAAGCATTGCTTCATATATGAAAACCTGTCATGGAGATAAGAAAAGTAGTGAGAAACTGAGAATTATGAATTGGAAGAACCACGGATAATAATGCGAAAGTGCAAATGAGACAACACAATTTTCAAAGTAAAAACAAAAATAGTAAAACGAACCAGATTCACAATCCTTAAAGTAATTGTTATGCACTACAAAACCTTTTATTCAGTTTTAATTTCATCCACGAAGGTATACCAAGAGATTGATCATGTTATTCTCATTGATGATTTGTACTGGAAGAAGAAAAGCCCCCTTGCCTTTCAATGAAAAACATTTAATTTTTCAACCATGTTATAGAATGATAGAAATGCAGTAGAATATATATTAAGGATCGATTTGTTTTCTAAGGAAAAAAGGGAAATGCAGGAACAAATGAAGTTTTTCTTGACATAAAAAGTAAAAAAAAAAAAAAAATCTAAACCTTCAAATGAATGCCTTTTGTTCAAATAAAAATGCAAATCGAGCAAGAATAATCCATTTATCGTTTAAAAGAGAGAAATAAGAAGGTGAAAAACCTGATTACTGCCTTGATGGAAGCGAACAAGACTCCCCTGTTTTGTAGAAGTTAGAAGTCCCAGCATCATCATGAAGTTTACAGTTGTGTGCTTTTGAAAAAGGAGGTTCAGCCCAAGACAAAATACAAAAGGCCTTTGGGGAGCGGGCAATGCTGTTATTGCACCCATAATAATTTTGTATCCGGCTTCATTAGAGACTAGGATTCAACAACTTGTTTGCATCCTTTGTCAAAAGATCAACTTTCTGGGGATGTGGGCTATCATGGACCAATCTCTCCCTCCATTCTCTTCACAGGATTTTCGTAAAAGAGGACAATGCGTGATTTCTAAAGTCTGAAGTTGGGAGGGGAGTCCCCCTTCTGGAAATGACTCGAGCCTTGGAGCATTATTAATATTCAATGATGTAAGAGCAGTGAGCCTATTAAACCACATGGATGATGGTAGGAATTCGAGACTCTGAAGATTATTGAGTTCCAGTTGTTGAAGAGATGTTGGCAGCTGCCAATCATCGTCGTCTTCTGGGAAGGATTTGAGACCGGTACAATCCCAGATGATTAATGTTTGAAGAGATGTAAGGTTTTGTAAGGCAACATCCTTAGGTAGGGGAGGAGTCCCCTTTCATCCTCACCGCATCCACTGATCTCAAGTCGCTGTAGTTGGATTGGCAACCCCCCATTTGAGAAGGCCATTAGACGAGGACATCCTACGATGCTTAACCATTTAAGAGATGGGAAAATGATGGACATCCCTTCAGCTTCAACTTTAGGTAGGGATTCCAGTCCTTCACAATGTTCTATCCGCAGAGACTGCAAGTAAGGAAGGGGAAGGAAACTTGAAAATGCTTTTAGTTTGGGACACCTGTATATATGAAGTGACAATAGACTAGGAAAACAACGGTATTTATAAAGTGACCATGGACGAGGAAATTGTGGTGCTGGTGATGACCATTCTCCTTCCCAATTATCCATTTCACCTATCGTCAAAATCTTAAGCATGGGTAGAGCTCCAAGTTGACTGAATGGGATAACTTTACATGATTTACATCCTTTCAATTCCAACTCTGTTAGATTGGGCATCTCTACCATCCAAGGAGGGAATCTTCCACCATAATACCCCTTGATTGTGAGTTCAAGTCTCTTATTATCAATTCTTGGTGGACGAAGACGCTCAATTACTTGTTGGGCCATAGCTGCTGCTCTCTCTCCAACACCAATATTGTTGATGTTATCCCATTCAAATGCTAACTTGGAAAAGACTTGATTGTTGTTATTGAAAATGGAATTTGGGATGTCGTTGACAATGGCAAAATTCTCTAACCCTGACACGATAAGATGCACTAGCCCGACGCACTTACCGTATAACTTCCGATCATCTTCAACCTGAATTCTACACTTGTACTTATCAATCTTCACAAGTCGAAGTTTAACAAGGCTGCTGCTTATATTTTCAGGTAACTCCTTCATATAATCATTCAATCCCTCAAGTAGCAATGTTTGTAAATGGTAGAGGCTACAAACTGATTCTGGTAGCCTTATAATCTTAGTATAGGATAGGTCGAGGTATGTTAGTAGTTTTAAGTTACCAATAGATTCTGGCAACCCATTGTGTTCCAGGTCAAGATAGCGCAAGTTCAACACACGTAAGCAACTCCATGTATCGAATAAATTATCAAGCTTTGCTACAAGGCTTGGAATACGAATATTGTATTCGTACTGACTGAAACTTATATAACCAAACAACAGAAATGTACGTGAACTACTCTTACTCTTGATTAATTGGTCCAAGGCATTATCATCTATTGTCCTTGTATGAAATAATGACAAATGACGAGCTTTTATATTATTTGTATACCTGGACGAGTTATCACCTTGATTAATGAACGCTTCTGTTAATAAAAAGCATATATCCTTTGAAATAAATTGTGCTAAATCATGAGTAAGGTCATGCATCACAAATCCTCTACCGTATTGACTTATTGGATTGAAAAATGACCTGAAACATAGCTCTTCAAAATACTCACTTCCTATGGCTTCAATTTGCTTATTCCCCTCGGGATGTATAAATCCTTCCCCCATCCATAAAAGAACTAACTCCTCCTCCTTACTAAATATGTAATCTTTGGGGAAAATGGAGCAATAAGAGAAGCAGCGCTTCAGATGCGCCGGGAGACGTTGGTAACTCAATCTCAGAGATGGCACTATACCATCCGTATCTTCTAGTTCCCATATTTCACTAGTCAACACATTCTCCCACTCCTGCTCTTTAGTTTTAGAATGCAAGAAGCCTCCCAGAGTCTTTACTGCAAGAGGCACACCCTTACATTTTTCAACAATTTTTCTGCCAATTTTTTCTATTTTTGGATTTGTTTCCAAGACAACATCATCTACAGATGCCTGGTGCCTCAGTATTGACCAGCACCAATCATCTTCTAAGCCACCTAGACGGTGGGCAGGAAGGGTACCCATGATTGATGAAACTTTTTTACTTCGAGTGGTGACTATCACTCTACTTCCTTTTTCCCCAGACTGAAATGGTTTTCGTAGTTGTTCCCAGTCCTCCAATTTCTCGTTCCAAACATCATCCAGAACAATTAAAAATTTCTTCCTGTGCAACCTCTCTGTAAGATTGCATTGGAGTGGATCTAGGTCGGTGAGTGGAACAACATTCGTGGTGGCAGATTCAAGAATAGCTTTTGTTATCTTGGCAGTATCAACTTTTTCTGAGACACAGACCCATGCTTTGAGGTCGAAATGTCCCTTTACTTTTTCATCATTGTATACAGATTGAGCAAGCGCAGTTTTGCCCAGCCCACCCATACCAACTATGGGAATCACTCCATAATTTTTTTCAGCACCTAGACCACCCCAAGTCAACAGTTTGGTAATTATATTGTTCTTATCAGTCTCTCGACCAAAAAAGCAAGATTCATCCAAAATGGAACTTGTTGAAGGCCTCTTTATGATTTCATTGCTCATAGTCCCTTCTACATAGACCCTTTTCAATCCTAGTACACTTATTCGCCTTTTGAGTTTCTGTAGCCTTTCTTTGATCTTCTTTATCTTAGATTTTATCTCATTTTTCATTTCAGGGGAGATGGAGCGGCGCACCTGGTATTCTTTAACATAGACTGCATACTCCTCCAATGTGTCTTCCGCATCGTAAGCCACATCATTGAGTTCCTTTAACCATGAGCACAGCCTCGATCATCAGCAATGTTTCTTCTAGCTCTGCGAGATCTCCATCAATTCCCCAGTTGGACGAAGAATCTTTGATGATTGCGCTATCCAACTTATCAAACAGTACCTTGAAAAAGGCCGACAGGATTGGTTCTCCCATTTCCGCCATGATCTTATTTTGAACTCTGATGGAAGGAAATAAGAGATTCAAGAAAAGAGAGATGGACCTGTTTTGTGTACGGGAAGCTCAAATCACACTCTAAATGCCTATTCCATTTCCTATTAACTCTTATCTATTAAAACAAATCTTTCAACTTTAAGAAAAAATTAGTTGTTGGTTTTCTTTTATCTATTGTCTTATTTCTTAAAATGCAATCATATATATTTTTGTTTTTCAAAAAAATCCTAAAAAAGATAAATAAAAACTCTCATATATGGAATCAAAATGGATATTTGATAGTGTTCAAAATTCAGAATTTATAATTTTCACCAATGCCAATATACCTCTTAATATAAATATATTTTTTCGCTTCATCAACCTCCCTAGTTTCGTGATTACTCTAGCACGCGACAGTAACTTGCTGACATGTTGATGATTTTGATGAGGACTCGGTGGCTTGGTGGTTGTACCCATCAAAAATTCGTTTTTTTTTAATATAAACGTGCTTGACTTAAATTGGCGGATATTTTTTATTCTATACAAGTAATTACTTTAATTTTCAGCTTTTCAATCCCACCTTAACTTTATGATAAAAATAATTTCACTTCAAACAAGCAGAGATGAAGGCAAACGTTTTTTGTCTGTGATATATAAAAATGTGTCATAAGAGGGTTAATAGACTTTTCAAAGTCTTAATAGAATTGAAAGTGGAAGGGTGGAAGGCTCCATTTGGTTTGCAGAAATGGGGTTATAGAATTGAAAATTGAAAGGTCCATGTCGTTTGGTTGGGTGGAATTAGAATCTGATTTTCATTATTCCTGGTAAGTAAAAATGGCATTCTTCCATTTTGGAGAATACCCATTATACTGGTTTCCCTCCCCTAGATGAATGAGAATCCCGTTCAAATTTCCAACTGACAATAAAAAGGGATTCTCCCAAACCCTATTTTCAAGCTCCTTCTCCATCTACACTGGTGCAATATATAGGTCATTTTGATTCTAATTTCAGGAAATTTCGGCTTTGATTCCGACCACAAACCAAACGGAACCCTTATTAACTAAACCCAAAACTGAGGGGTAAGTAAGACTCTGGATAAGCTTCTGCTTTTGAGCTTTGCGCTGTGAGATAGAAACATAAGCCAATAAAGGATTTGAGAGTAGGTAAAAAATGGTCAAAAATTACTGTCGGAATCGATAGTTAATAGTTTGACCACTCAAGCTAGTGGGTTGCTGATAAAATCAATAATTTTTTTGCCTAAAACAATTTTAAAGTAAAACAGAACAGATTACCTAATCGATTCCTGGGTCAATTTGTCCGACCATCTGGTCCAATACGGTTTTCAAAACATGCTTTTAAACCTCAAAGCACAAAGCTTAAAATTGGGGGTTTTAACGAAAACCCTAGGGGCGATAGAAAATTAGAAATAATCTATAACTCAACTATTTTTTTCTTTTGACTTATACAAATGAGAGAGAAAGAGAGGGGTACAGTTTATACATATTTAAAATAATGCGTTGATATGACTAAACGAGGACATAAGTAATGATCAGTTGAGAGAGATGGTTGTGGAATCTAGATAAGGTAGAGCTGTGTTTAAAATAAACTTAATTTTTTAATCATGAAAATACATATATTTGAAGTAACGAGTTGATGCATAACAAATCCATGACTTAGTCTAGCCCCCTGATTTTATAGGAATCTGGTGTTTACTAGATGTAATGTTATTTTATGAATGAAAAGCTTTTGTCTGTTGGCTTTTTTTAAAAAAAGGAGAGAGAAAAGGAAGAAGAAATAACGAGTTGGTCGGGTAGACGGAGACTTTAATTAAATTAAAAGGGGATTTGTCCGTCACCTCGATCCATTTTGGGTCCATTTGCTAAAATCTGCAACTTTATCAAAATAAAATGTTGATTCTTAATGGGAATAAATTAGTTGGTATACTCCCATTCTTTTAATGATGATATTACTCTCATTCCAATATTATTAGATAGAGCTTTAATTATGTTTACGAAAATTTTTTATGGGAATAAATTCAATACCTTCACTATATCTCACAAGTGGTGGAAATAAATTAGTTGGAATGTTCCAAATTATGGTTTTATCAAAATAAACTTTGATGATGTTCAGTGGCCTGTATAGTTTGGGATCATCTTGGTAAAGGTGTTAGTGGTCAAAGCATATAAACTTGGTATTTGTTCCATTAACCAGGCTGAAGCTTGGGTTGCATAGGAAGTCCATGTCCAAGCTACAAACTATAGGGAGTTTCCTATAATCATAGAAGGAGATTAGTCTCTTGTCTTCTCTTGCCTCAAAAGAAAGGTGAATGTTCCTTGGAATCTACAAGGTACTATCTCAAACTACTTACGGAAAGAGATTTGTTCAGAGGAGATCTTCACTATCAACATGTCTACAGAGAAGAAAATCAAACGGATGACTAGCTGGCTCAGGAGGCTTTTTCTTCTTTTTCTTCTTCTTCTTCTTCTTCTTCTTCTTCTTCTTCTCTAGATTTTAGCATCTTATCTCTTCCCCCTTCTCTTCTTCTTATTTCTTCTGTTGACTTTTGGGGACGTACTACCCCCCGTTGTGTAGTACATTTCAGTTTATTTTCAAAAAAAAAAAAAAACCTATTGATTGGAAAGACACTAGTTGATCGGAGTAGTCGAACCATTGACCAACTTGATCCGCTCATCAGGTCACAGGTTATACACTAAAATGTAGTATAATTTTTGAAGGCTATAACTTTGTGTTTGATGTAAAGGTGTAAATCAGGTCATGTTGTGCATGTGTTTATTACCTTTAGATAGAGGTCTCGTCTGACATGGGCCTAGGCAGGCATTGACTATGCTGTGTCGTGCCACAGTGTCACGGGGGTAGTTCTACAGCGGAAGAAACCCGTGCGGCGTCCTGGCCAAGGTAGGCCAGGA